CATGCGTTTTCTCATTGATAAGGAGACAGGGAAGAAAGACTGGGAAAGGAAAGCTCCCCCTGCCACCCCCTGTCGCAGACATTTCTTACGTGTCAGAGTCCAGAAACTGAAGAGCAGAAAGCAAGAGAGGAGAAAGTAGACATAGGCCCATAGGCGGGGGCATGACCCCCTTTTTGTTTCTGCTTTGTCTTTTATCCTTCTTCTTCCTTTTTCTATGAGAGCGCAGGAAAGGCAAGGAAAGGAAAGGAGAGGCGGGAAAAAAGGCCCCCGCAGTCTTCCCGCAACACTCTGGGAAAACACGACAAGACAAGGGGCACGGAGAGCTTGTCGTTCCCCCCCTCCCTTGCTCACCTTTGCCACATCGAGGCAGACAAAAAGGCAAGGAGGACGGGCGCACAAAAGGAGGCCCATTTGTGCCTGCCTTCCTTCTGCTCTTTCATTCCTTCCCTTTCCCACTGTTGTCAGAAAAGAAGAAGCAAAGAGAAGAGACGAAGAGAGGAGAGGAATGAAGAAGGTTTTGGAGAGGGGGGCGGAACACCCTTCTCTTATCTCTACCTTCCTATTCTTTTCATCTTTCCGGCGGTTCCTTCCATAACTTGGACTTGTGAGAAAGCGACGAGAGGCCAAGATCAGGGGGGTGACTCGCTATTGTGTTACTTCATAGTTGTTTCATTTTTCTTGAAAAACAGAAAGGCCCCCTCCGACTTGTTTCCAAGGATGAGTGAGTTTGCTAAGCCATAAACCCAACTCTGACATGCTTCAGGCATAAAACATTCAATGGTTTTAATAGGGAAAGAAGGACAAGACCTCACATTATACCTAAAGGTCCATGGCACATAAACCCTATACACCCTATAAACCCTATGAACCCTATTCACCCCATAAACCCTATAAACCCCCATAAACCCTATAACCCCTATAAACCCTATAAACCCGATGAACCCCATAAACTCTATAAGCCCTATAAACCCTATAAACCCTATAAATCCTATAAACCCCATAAACCCTATAAACCCCATAAACCCTATAAACCCTATAAACCCTATAAACCCCCTAAACCCTAAACCCAACCAGGTGGCTGCAAGAAGTGCCTGCCCGGGGTGGCCCTTCTTCGTCGCTGCGGGCTGCGTGGCGCTGGGCCTCGTCATCTCCTTCTCCCTCCCAAAGCAGGCGCGGCAACGCGGGGTTTAGGGTTTAGGGTTCAGGGTTTAGGGTTTAGAGTTTAGGGTTTAGGGTTCAGGGTTCAGGTTTTAGGTTTTAGGGTTTAGGGTTTAGGGTTCAGGGTTTAGGGTTTAAGGTTTTCAGGCGACGAGTGAAGGAGCGACCCTTGTAAGGGACCTTAGGGGTTGTTTGGGGGTTGATTTAGTGACTACTTAGGTATTTAGGGACTATATACGGTATGTATATACATATATAGGGGTTACACAGGGAAATAAGATGAAGGGTCCCTTCTTGTTCAGGCTTCTGCGCGTGTCGGCTTGAGTGCTTTACGGCTTTGGATGGAGGGCTTTAATTGGTGAAAAGGCTGTTTTAGACACCCTGAACCCTGTAAACCCCCAAAAAGCCCCATAAACCCTTTAGAAACCCTACGAACTGCATAAACCCTATAAACCCCAAACGCTGCTAATAGGAGGCCTTTAACTCCCCCAGCTGCATCTCCTTTGCTTGGGGTTTTGGGGTCTTGGGGGCGTTTGAGGTGGAGGGTTAAAAGCCTCGGATTCTAAGGTTTAGGGTGCTGGGAGTTTGAATGAAAGGCGCAGGTGTTGTTAAGGCTATGTCCCTAAACCCTAAACCCTACACCCTAAACCCTAAACCGCTTTGGAGATGAGTGCAGGAGGGCAATGAGCAAGGAGGGGGCACAGCGCTGCACGACCGCGCTCTGCTCGTTCAGGCACGCAAGGGGGGGGGGGGGGGTTTAGGGCCCAGGGGTTGGGTGTTTCCGTGCGCTGCTTACCCCCCAAGCCGTTCTTGTACTTTACACCAACTTATTCCACTTAAGCCCCTAGGCCTAGGCCCTGAGCCGTCAGGCAAGAGAGTGGTATCCATGACATGCCCTAAATCCACATGACTCCGGGCTCTTTTGCTCCTTTGTGTTCCTGGTGGTGGAGTGGACTTATCCATCGTATGGGGATGCTGGGGTGGCACTTGCAGTTGCACATGTCTTCCGTTGCTTTGCACGCGCACGCTTGCACCAGACTGATGAGGTTCAGAGCGCACAGAAGGGTTTAGGGTTTTGGGATTTGAACAACTTAGGCTTCAGGAGATTCAGGGTCAGGGTGAACATGCCCCAGCAATTCAGGTGCAACCCTGAATCGCTAAGCCCGAAAGCCTAAGCCCGTGCTTTTTCCCTCTAATCTGTGGCCAGGCCTGTGCCCGGCGGCATCCCAACCTCTTGCTTTTAGGCCCGTTGATGAGGGCTTCGGGTTTCGGGTTCAGAATTTGGTGAGGGTTTGGGGCTGCTTGCCGCGGGTAAGGCGGAAGACCTTGTGAATGCGAGAGGACCCACTGTTACGCTGTGCCAGTCCCTTGCTTTCTGCTTTCCGCCTTTGGTTTGGGGTTTAGGCCTCTAAACCCTAGACATCCCTAGACCCTAAACCCTAAAACCTTCAGGGTTTATGATTTAAGCGACTAGCGCTTTGGGCTTTGGATCTAGGATTCCGAGAGCTCGATCATAGTTCATGGGGGGGGGGGGGGCTTTGTGGTCCCCCAAGCACTGAACCCGAAGGGTTCAGGGTTTAGGGTTTGGGGTTTAGGGTGTAGGGTTTAGGGTGTAGGGTTGTAGGGTTTCGGGTGCCTCCAGCTTAGTCTCGTGTGGGGTTCGGGGAGGCTTTCGGACTTCAGGCTTATGCTCCCTACACTTCGGGTGCCGCGGAGACTAGAAGGGCCCTAAAACCCTAAACCCGAAACCCTAAACCCTAAAACCCTAACCTTAACCCTAAACTCCGAACCCTAAACCTGGGATGTGCATGGCCCCCCCCCCCCCCCAATCCCGAAGAGCCCTGAGCCCTACACCCTGAAGCCCACAAGCCCCAAACCCCTAAACCCCGCACCTGGAGGTTCAGAGTTTAGGGTTTAGGGTTTAGGGTTTAGGGTTTAGGGTTAGGGTTTAGGGTTTAGGATTTAGGGTTTAGGGTTTAGGTTTTAGGCTTACTGTAGGGAAGTGGTACTTTCAGGTTCATGGCTGCTCATAAGTAGGTCAAGTAGGGCAACTCTGATTGTAACCCTTCTTTTGGAGACTTCTGGCCCTGCTGTAAGTGCTAAACCCTAAACCCTAAACCCTAAACCCAACATCCTGAAAGCCCTGTGCCGAACGCCACTTTGAGCAGCCAAGGTTCTTCTCCTGGCTTCCAGGCAGTCCACTCGCCCAGAATCCCAAAGGCCCCCGGAATGAGGGGAATTCGCGCCCTAGATATACGGAGGATATAGGGTACCCGTAAACCCTAACCCTAAACCCTAAACCCTAAACCCTAAACCCTAAGGGAGTATATAGGGCACCTCATTCCCGCATTCCCCACGAAGAACCAGCCAAAAAGGTCGCCAACCTTGGACGCTCCCACGCTCGCGGAGATCGCTACGGGGGCGCTTGGGCGATGGCGCTGGGGTGACCTGATATAGGGTTTAGGGTTTAGGGTTTAGGGTTTAGGGTATATTCCCTTAGGGTCCTTTCTGATTGTATTAATCTAACCCCCCCCACAGCCCTGTTCTAATTATTGTTTAAGGCTCCTGCAGTAGGGGCTTCTGCTTGAGGGTCCTGTCGATGTGCCCCTCAAACCTCACGAAATACCAAGACTGCACTGACGAATTGCAACCCTAAACCCTAAACCCCAAACCCCAAACCCTAAACCCTAAACCCTAAACCCTAAACCCTAAACCTAGGGCTTAGGAGCACCGCGGCGGAATGTGCTGGCAGACAGGAAAACAGGCCGACCTACACCGACTTCGGCTTGGTCCTTCCAGTAGGGTTTAGGGTTTAGGGTTTAGGGTTTAGGGTTTAGGGTTTAGGGTTTAGGGTCTAGGGTCTAGGGTCTAGGGTCTAGGGTTCAGGGTTCAGGGTTTAGGGTTGTTTACTTCATACTTTTCTGAGTCAGGGCGCGGCGTACCTCTCGGAAAGGCAGCACGGAAATTCAAGTGTTTCGTGAAGAAATCAACCCTGTTTCGGTGTTTTAAAGTAAGAATTCTTGAGTGCTGGGGAGTGGATGAACCTTAAACCGCCTAAACCCCGATAGATGAACACCTGCGTACAAAGATTGGGTGGGCGAGTGGATTTCCTCGCCTGTACTCTAAACCCTAAACCCTAAACCCTAAACCCTAAACCCTAAACCCTAAACCCTAAACCCTAAACAACCCTAACCCCCCCCCCCCCCCCTCCTTCCTATATCCACTCCATGGAGGGGGGTCGAGTGCACGCTGAACCACCATGAAGCCTAAAAGCCCCTAAACCCTAACCCTAAACCCTAAACCCTAAACCCTTAAACCCTGGAAAACTCCACTAAGGTCGGAGAGGGCCTACGTTTGGGACATGACTCAGCCCAAAGCTTAGCCAAAGAAGGCACAGGTTTGGGATTCTTCGCTGTTTAGGCTTCGGCTTGTTTTTGGTGAGGCTCCGGGTTTGGGGTTTGGGGTTTCGGTTTTAGGGTTTGGGTTTAGGGTAGGGGTTTAGGGTTTGGGGTTTGGGGTTTCGGGTTTGGGTTTTTCGGGTTTAGGGTGTTTAGGGTTTAGGGTTGGTGTATTCGCAGGGCAGCCTGGGTCCTTCCACTTCCGCTTTTGCAGGAACGATGATTTTTCAGGCGTGGGAAGCCCGCCAGTCACCTCTTTCTCGCACAAAAATCAAATATAGTATAATATAATATAATATGGTATACTATAGTAAAGGATAATACAATATAGTATAGTTAAATATTTACAAATCCAATATAGTATAGTATGAAATGATGTAATTCCCTAAGGAAGCCTAGCAGTTGCACAAGGTCCCAACCGTTAGGAAGAGCGGGCAGTAGTTTATGGCTCGAGCTCTCTTGAGTCGGTGTTCCGACTCAATCTTTCCCTCCTCCCTCCTGTGCGCCAGCATGCTGCGAGTTTTCAAGGCTTCCGGCGAGGAGGTGCTGGCAACTGAGCTTGCAGAGTTCACCAAGATGATCCGTAGGGATGGGCAGCATGTCCGACCTGTCCGGGGGCAGCCCGTCCGGGGATTCCACCTCAAGCGCCACCTGCAAGAACTCTGTGGGCTGGCACGGTTCCTTAGGAAGCTGAGTTGGTATGACCTTTTTGTTAACCCTTGGGGGGGGGGGGGGGGACTCTTGAAGTGCAGCTGCAGATGCCTATAAGCTTTTTGGTTACCCTTTGCAACCCCCCGCCCCCCTAAAACCCCAAAGGTTCACCTCCTTAAAAGAACTGGGTAAACCCTAAGCCCTAAACCCTAAACCCTAAACCCATGTTAAGGTTCAGACAGCGGCTACTAGAGCCAAACGGCAGCATCCTCTCGGACGATGCCACTCTGCACGGACCCGTCGATTTGCAGCTGATCCTCCTGCCCTTCACCCCGAGTTCTTTGGCGGACGTATGAACCCTCAAAGGGTTTTTATGGCTCATATGTATGTCATATACTCTTATAGAATGATAATTTTAGTAGCTATAGGGGTATCTGTTCCTCAAAGGGTTTTTATGGCTCCCATGTCATATATAGAATAGTATTTTTAGTAGTATAGGGTATCTGTTCCCTCAAAGGTTTTATGGCTCAGAAGTCAATATACCCTATATCATAATAATTTCAGTAGCTAAACCCTCAAAGAATCAAAGGGTTATGGCTCGTAGGTCATATACCCTATAGAATAGGAATTTTAGTAGCTATAGGGTATAGCACCCCCCCAAATTTTAGGGTTCATGTGGTCCCAAGGTTTTAGTAGTATAGGGGAAAAGGGCCCCCCAAAAATTCTAGAGTTCATGTGGCCCTCAAGGTTCCCAAGAGCAAGTGCAAGAGCTCTGCCAAGCTGCGCGGCGCAACGACACGCAAACCTTGGCGCGGCTCCTGCAAAGGCCCCAGGACCCCAACCTCTTGTGGAAGCGCAGCGCTCCTCTGTACCTCAGAACCTAAATGAGTACACTTTACACGATACTCTAGATATATATGTATACATATATATCCACACATATATATATATATGTATATTCCCGTATGGAAACTGCACCGTGCACTTTTTTTTGGGGGGGGGGGGCTTGTGAACTCAGCGACTAAGGTACAGCGCCGCGAACTGCAACTCTCTGGATGCCGCTCGCCTGCTGCTGGAGGCGAAGGCGGACAAGGAGTGGGTCAGCCATCGTGGCATCACTCCCTTGCAGGTGGCATCTCTACCTTTACGGACGAAAGGAGCCCTAGAATTTTCGGGTCATATACCCAAAATATGACTATAATTCCTACTACAGGGTAGTATGAGCCATATAAACCCCTTTTGGGCCTTCATATGTGGTCCCCAAAGGAAAGTGGCATCCCTTGCAGGTTGCATCTCTATGCGGCCACATTGAAGTCGTCGGCTTGCTCTTGGAAGCCAAAGCTGAGAAGGACAGGGCGGACCTGGAAGGCCGAACCCCCATGTTACTTGCTGTTGGTTCGGCAGGGGAATGAGGGGATGAGGCACCTTATATATGGTTCGGCGTCGGGCGTCCTGCGCCCCCCCCCCCCCCCCCCATGGTATCCCCCCCCCCCCCCCCCCCCAAAGACCCTTAACCCCTTGCTCAAAGCCCTCGGCCCTAAAGCATAAAACCCTAAGTCCTAAAACCCTACAGCCTGAACCGTCAGCCCTTAGTCAGCAAGCCTAAACTCAGACCCAAAACCCAAACCCCCAAGCAGAAACCCAAAACCCAAACCCCCAACCACACCACAGGGGGGGGGGAGGCAAAGCCCTGAACCCTAAAGTCTAAAACCCTAAAGCCTAAAACACTACAGCCTAAACCGTCAGCCCTTAGCAAGAAAGCCCAAACCCAAACCCAAAACCCAAACCCCCAACCACACCACAGGGGGGGGGGGGAGGCAAAGCCCTTAACCCTAACGTCTTAAACCCTAAACCCCAACACCCTACCGTAAACCCTAAATCCTAAACCCTAAGCCCTAAACCCTAAACGCTAGACCCTAGACCCTAAACCCTAAACCCTAGACCCTAAACCCTAAACCCTCAACCCTAAACCCTCGTTCTTAACAAGAAAGCCTAAACCCAAACCCCAAACCCAAACCCCCAACCACACCACAGGGGGGGGGGGGGGGGGGGGGGGCCAAAGTGGCAGGCGTGGCATCTCAGTATGGTGAAGAGCATCATAGTAGTATAGTACCATAGTATAGACCATTGGCGGGGGTGGGGGGGGGGGGGGGGGTGGGGAGGGGGGGGGGGGGTAGGGGGGGGGGGGGGGTAGGGGGGGGGGGGGGGTAGGGGGGGGGGGGGGGGTAGGGGGGGGGGGGGGGCCGCCGGGGCTGAACCATATATCCCCCCTTTAGATACCCTTTAAGGGATTCAAGAGGCACCCTATATCCCGCTAGATAAACCCTTTAAGGGATTATAGAGGGTACCTACTAACCAACAGAATAAGGTTACCCTATATTCCCGCCAGATATACCCTTTAAGGGATTCAAGAGGGTACCTCATTCCCCCATTCCCTCCTAACCAACAGTCATAAGGCTACTGGCAGCTCGCTCGGACCACGGAGAAGTCGTCCGCCTGCTCTTGGAGGCGAAGGCTGACAAGGACAAGGCGAGCAGCTTAGGCGCAACCCCGATGCTTAGGGATAAACTTGGAGATAGTTTTTAAAATCCTTTGGGGTACTTTTCAATTCCCATAAGAAGCAGCTACAATTCTATTTTTTGCTAGGGTGTTCCAAGTTCAGTCTAGGATGTCCGTGGCCATCGCGAGAGGATCCCAGGAAGTTCTCCGGGTCCTTCTGGATGGCAACGAGGAAGCTCTCCAAGTCCTCCTGGATGGCGCGGGCCGGCCTTTGAAGAAGCGTAGAACCGCGTGAACTCGTTCAGTGCTGTCTGCCGGTCTGCCGGCTGGCTGATGCGAGGCACCAACAAAAGCCGAACCCGAAACCCTAAAACCCTAACCCCTAGACCCTAAACCCTAAAACCCCAAACCCTAAACCCTAAACCTCTGGGGCTCATGAGAGTTTCAGTTTGGGCCCCTAGGTTCTGGGGGATGGCTCCCCCATAGCTCCCCGTGTGCAGAGGATCCACTTGGAGTAGCATCATCGAATTAGTCAGCCCATGCAAAGTTGGGTGGAAAGAGGGGGGCGGGAGAACCTTGCCCTAAACCCTAAACCCTACACCTCTACAGGCTCAAAATGAGTAGCTGGGACCTTACACCTCTCCCTAAACCCTAAACCCGAAACCCTCAACCCTAAACCCTACAGGCTCATAGAGTGGCTTTTAGGCTTCTTTTCCCAAGGATTCTGTGGATAATGTCCCTAGCATTTCTAAGGAATGTTTGGGGTGGTCGTGTCCCCCATAAAGCTTTTACTGGTACCTATCGTGGGGAATTCGTAAATGATAGTTACCATGTGTCCACTACTTCCTCAACCCTGTCGAGCCCTTTGAGGGACTGCATAGGGACCCTTATTGTAAGGGTACTCCAACTATCTCGTTTACTGTTCGGGAAGTTTCTGCGATGCTCTGACACTCCGACCCGGGACTCCCCCCCATGATCCTGGCAATATTTCTCTTCGGGGGCGCTCAGGGCGATGTCATATGTCTAGGCTGAGCACTGAAGATGCCTGGGGATGTTAGACGAAGATGCGGCCGGCTTCTGCAAGCCACTCTGCAAGAGAATGCATGGTACCCTAAGCCCTATAGACCCTAAACCCTAAACCCCTAAACCCTAAACCCTAAGCCCTATGCACTAAACCCTAAACCCCTAAACCCTAAACCCCTAAACCCTAAACCCGAAAACCCAAAGGATGTTTTGCAGCTTCCTGGCACGAGGCAGTATCTGCAGCCCTGCGCGCACCTCGATGGTCGTGTTGCGGCCGGGTTCCCAATGCTTCGGGCCATAAACCCTAAACCCTAAGCCCCAAACCCCAAACCCTAAACCCTAAACCCTAAACCCTAAACCTTAAACCCGTCTATAGGGTGTTGAGGGCCTACAGGGCCGTTCAGGGCTCAAGGCGGTCCAGGGTTTAGGGTTTAGGGTTTAGGTTTTAGGGTTTAGGGTTTAGGGTTTAGGCCCGCCTTGTAACAAGGCCGACAGCTCCTCCATCGTCTACTGAGGAGGTATTGTTCCATGAATGTTTGCAACTGTACTGCAATTTGCAGTTTAGGGTTTAGAGTTTAGGGTTTAGGGTTTAGGGTTTAGGTAGGCATAGCATGGGGAGCCCAAATTATGGAGCCCTAGAAATGTGGGCTCTTCGAAGTTTCAAAGGCGCTGCAACTCTCCAACCTAGTAGGCCGCTAGGTCTGAAAAAACCCGAAACTCTAAACCCTACACCCTAAACCCTAAACCCTAAACCCTAAACCCTAAACCCTAAACCCTAAACCCTAAACCCTAAACCCTAAACCCTAAACCCTAAACCCTAAACCCTAAACCCTAAACCCTAAACCCTAAACCCACGCACTCTTCAGGAGGTGTGCGCCTCCCTCTCATCGGCGCTTCGCCGTGAGCGGGGCTCCGCAAAGGCTTTAGGGTTTAGGGTTTAGGGGAGGGAGGGAGGGAGGGGGTTGGGTTTTGGCGGGGGGTCTGCCCTAAACCCGCCTCTAACCCAAAATGGGGGTGTATAGGTAGGATTGAGGGTCCTTAAGAGTCCCTAGACCCTAAACCCTAAACCCTAAACCCTAAACCCTAAACCCTAAACCCTAAACCCTAAACCCTAAACCCTAAACCCTAAACCCTAAACCCTAAACCCTAAACCCTAAACCCTAAACCCTTGCAGGCTGCTCTTGTTCTGTTTCGGAGGGCTTCTGGGGTTGGGACTCTTTCGGCTTTGGGGGAGCCTTCTGATTTTGTTTTGTGGAGGCGGGGGTGTCTGGGATCGGGAGGCATCTGGGAGGGGGTCATGTGGAGGGGGCGCGGCTGCGTCATTTAGGGTTTAGGGTTTAGGGTTTAGGGTTTAGGGTTTAGGGTTTGGGGTTTAGGGTTTAGGGTTTAGGGTTTAGGGTGGGGGGGGGGGTTGAATGAGGGAAGGGGGGCATCTATCGACAACTTCCAGCTTCAACCTGTGTGTCTCGCTCCGTCCTTGCTTCAGCCGCTGAAGAAGCCTAAGCCCTATACCCTACAGAAAAGGACGTTGCAACCCTGAGCCCTAAAACCCTAAGCCCTACAAGGAGGGGGCCCCCTTACTATACTGACTAGGATAGCCCAATTTGGGGCTCTTAGAACTCTACTTATAACTAGGGGGCCCCACCTTGTAAGCCCTAAACCCTAAACCCTAGACCCTAAACCCTAAACCCTAAACCCTAAATCCAAACTCTCGAGAGGCTCCCTCACGACAGGCCTCACCACAGAAGCAAGTGGGATCCAAGACAGGCAGGATGCAGCTCTTGCAGGCTTTGGGAGTTTTGATGGGTGGAGGCCAAAGACATCCAAAAACCGAAAACGGTTTAGGGTTTAGGGTTTAGGGTTTAGGGTTTAGGGTTTAGGGTTTAGGGTTTAGGGTTAAAGTGGTAGGAAGCAGGGGGGCTCCTGGCAGGGTTCCCGTCTCACTAGGGCTTAGGAACCAACATGTGAAGCTTCCCACAGGCTGTTGCTTGAAGGCTTGGTAAGTTGGGGCTTTAGGGGTTTCGGGTGCCCTGAACCCCATTATTCCTGCTTAACCCCTACATCAGGCCCCTTGGGTTTTCCTACTCGGAGAATAACGAGGATGCCCAGTAGTACCCTTATTCCCTTTCCGGGGTGTTTGGGTTCCCTTATAGACCCCTTTATGTAAAAACAGGGCACCGTCTTGTAATCCTACATGCCACGGCCGTGGCAGCTTCCTGGCGGAACTGCGTTGTTTCTGTGGACCCATAAACCCAAGAAACTCCATGAAGCCTATGATTTATAGGGTTTAGGGTTTAAGCTTAGAAGCCCCAAGCGCGAAACTAGGCGGATGTAGACACGGAGGGCGCAGGGGCAAAAAGCAGCCTTGCTGCATATACCTGCTGAATCCGTGTGCTCGGGCCAGTACAGCATTTTCTGCAGCAGTTGCTGAGCTACATGTCGAGCTTGGATTCGAGTCCATGTCGTCGAAGCTTGCAGACGTAGGGACTGTCGGCCTAGGTTCATGGCACTTATTAATAAACCAATTATAACTGTACTCCTAATTGTGCTTATAACCAAGGGGCTTAAAAGTGGGTTATAAGTTATAAGTTTGGAGAGTAAGTACCATGAACCTCCAAGTAAGCCAAGGACATGTTGCAGCACCCTTCCCCTTTTGATGTCCTTACATCCCCCAACGCCCCAAAAGGTGACCTGAAAGCCCGACCCCCTGACTGGCCAAAACCCGCCCCCCCCCCCCCCCCCCCTCCCCCCCCCTCATCCATCCCGAAACCCCGAACAGGTTTAGGGTTTAGGGTTTAGGGTTTAGGGTTCAGGGTTCAGGGTTCAGGGTTCAGGGTTCAGGGTTTAGGGTTTGTGTAGGGTTTCCCGCCAAACCTGCAAGATACCCTTGAGCTGGCAAGGCCCCGCGGCTCCAGTTCAGGCGCCAGCGGCGAGTGTAGATGAGGTGCACTGCGCCCCCTGCTCCCTTTATCTTACTGTTGGCTAGTAGGGAATGAGGGAATGAGGTTATAGAATCCCTTAAAGGGTACATATCTACATATATGTATATATGTATAAGAGGCTAGAGGGTGCCTCATTCCCTCATTCCCTACTAACCAACAGTAGGTTCTAGGCCATCCCAAGGGACTTCTGCACCTGAAGCCCCAAGTCCACCCACACTGACGCCTCGGTGTGGGTGTGGGGAGTGCAGGGTTTAGGCTTTCTGGGCTTCAGGGTTGGAAAGGTTTTGGAGCTTGGGATTTCAAAGGGTCCTCTACGCGCATAGGGCATAGGGCCTTAGTGGGGGTCTATCGGTCTCCAGCATGATCGGCTTTCCGAACGCCGAAAGTCGCACACATATGTTGTGAGGGCTTCAAGGGCCGAGAAAGTGTTGTGTTCAGGTGTGTGTCGGTTTAATCCCTTAATCTCCGAAGTTCCAAACCCCAACCCCTAACCCCTAACCCCTAACCCCTAAACCCTAAACCCTAAACCCTAAACCCCAAACCCTAACCCTAAACCCTAAACCCGAAGATCAAGACGTCCAAGCTTCTTAGCAGTAGGACGTCAAGTTCCGAGTCTGCAACCCAGGAATTCCGCAATCGAGATGAGGGGGGGGCCCTCCGAGACTTCCATGGGATGTTTTCGGGCGTATTAGGGTTTAGGGTTTAGGGTTTAGGGTTTCGGGTTTAGGGTTTGGGGTTTAGGGTTTAGGGTTTAGGCTCCTTTGCCGAGTTTAGCCAAGCGTCTAAGTTTGTTTGTTTGGTTGCGCTTTGGGGTGTTCGGATCTGGGGTGCCCATACATAAACCCTAAACCCTGAACCCTAAAGCCAGGAATTCTGTGCGACTTGGTTTGCTCGTATAAAACGCCCGGCATGGTAGTTTGCACACTTTGGGTACCTCTCCCGAACACACAGACCTCCCGCAATTTTGGGGGTTTCGGGCTTAGGGCATAGGGTTTAGGGCTTAGGGCTTAGGGCTTAGGGCTTAGGGCTTAGGGCTTAGGGCTTAGGGTTTAGGGTTTAGGGTTTAGGGTGTTTCCCAACCCAGAAGCCCTGTGCGGCAGGTCCTCGTAAGCTTCCGAGCAACGGCGGAGGCGATGAAACTCAACGGCCGAGCCCCCAGGTCTGGGAGTCTTCCGCATGTAGGGTTTAGGGTTTAGGGTTTAGGGTTTAGGGTTTAGGGTTTAGGGTTTAGGGTTTAGGGTTTAGGGTTTAGGGTTTAGGGCCGACCCCCAGGTATTCATGGGAGTCTTCTACATTCGCCGAGCCCCCGGCTACCAAGTGGTACTCGTTTTGTTCCCTTTTGGTAGGTTCCTTTAGAAATCCAGAAAAGTAAGAGTGGTACCCCTTGATTGTTGGGTACGGCTCCTGGACAAGCCCCATGAAACAGGATTAAATGGGGGTTGTCCAAAATGAGCCACCCCTAAGATAGCCACCCAAACTATAAAGTTCCTTTTTTTTTGGACCCCCAATAAAATACCCCCCCCCCCCCCAATTTCGGAAACCCCCCAAATAGGACAGAGGGCACCCTTTCATTCTTCAGCTGCTGGGGACACGGATGTGTTCTGAAGGAGCAATCCTCTTGAAGGTGTCATGTCTCATGTCCCTCGGAACCCTCAACGCCAAACACAGAAAACCTGAGGCCCAACAACCCCTAAACCCCAAACCCTAAACCCTGCACCCTAAACCCAACCCATTGCATGGTTTAGGACGTCAGGCTGGCCCGCCTGAAGTCCGCCTAAAGGGGAAGAGGCTTTTAGGCTTGTGGGGTTTAGGGTTTTAGCTTTCCCTAAGCCCTAAACCCTAAACCGCCCCTAAACCCAACCCTAAAACGCCCCTAAACCCTAAACCCTAAGCCCTAAGCCCTAAGCCCTAAACCCTAAACCGTTTTTGGGGGGGGTGGGTGGGTGGGTTTTGGATCCGGGCTGGTCTGCCCCCGCCCTCGTCGGAGGCATCTACAGGCGTCGGACCGATGTCCAGGCGCCCAAGGGGTCGGCCCCGAAACACTTCAAGACCGCCGTTTAGGGTTTAGGGTTTAGGGTTTAGGGTTTAGGGTTTAGGGTTTAGGGTTTAGGGTTTAGGGTTGGCCCAGCAGGGTTTGGGGTTTGGGGGTTGGCGTTTGGGGTTTAATGCGGATCGGGAGCAATGGCTCACTGGCGTAATGTATATGCAGGGACGCCCTGCCCCCTAATGATGCCACCCTGCATTACCCTAGATAAAGCCGCGCTGCGACGAGAGCTCCAAAATCTGCCTGCTCGCAAGGCACTGCCGGCGCATTATGCGCCAGCCCTTTGCTGGAAGCTAATGGCACAGCCACTACTTGATCTCCTAGAACGCACGCTCCTGCATGACTGGTCCACGATCCAGGTCATCATTCCCCAAGAGTGGAAGGATGGATGGCTAGTCCTCCTGGCCAAGCCGGGAAAGTCAGCGGCTGAGCCTGCGCATTATAGGCCCATTGCCCTAAGCTCTCCCATTGGCAAATGCATCCTAGGTGTAGCAATGCAGGCTCTTAGACCGCAGGTACAAAGGGTTATGATGTCTTATCCCCAGTACGCTTACCTCCCGCACCGTAGTACGAGACATGCCTTAAGTAGGGCTTTTGCGCATTGCAGGCGGGTCAAGGATCTGCTGGATAGCCAAAAACGAACCTTGAGAGAGAGGCTGGAAGGCAAACCTAAACGCAAACTAGTGGGAGGGCTGACGTTGGCGTTGGACCTGCAAGGTGCATTTGACAATGTCACACCCAGTCACCTGGAAGCTGCCGTGCAGGAGGCGCAGGTGCCTCATGACTTAAGCGCACTGCTCTTAGCGTGGCATCAAGCTAGATACTATCACATCAACCACCAAGGTCAGCATTCCTCCATCCCCGCAGTAAATGGAGTACGACAGGGCTGCAGAGCTGCGCCGCTTCTTTGGATTCTCTTTACGCGCCTGTTCATGCAACAACTCCAGCCGCGACTATCCCATGATTGGTGCATGCAGCACCTGACGCTGTTCGCAGACGACATGCTCTCGCAGCATGTGTTTGAAGCGGAAGAAGACATAACCAGCGCATTGGAGGCTCTGGGACACCTGCTCAATGTCCTCACCAAGCTCGGCATGCGACTCAGTGAAGGCAAGTCATATGCGTTGTTTCAGCTTGCTGGCTCACGAGCCAAAACCCTCAACAAAAGGTTCCTCAAACGTGAAAAAAGCAAGACATACCTACGCATACCCAGTAATCCACCGGTCATGATCGAAGTCGTGCAGCAGGTGGATTACCTTGGTTGTGTGCTTAGCTATGGAAACTTCGCTCGCTGCACGGTCACCAAAAGACTCCAAGCGGCACACAAAGCCTACCAACGGCTGAAAAGCACACTGCATTGTAAAACGTTAACGCTGTTGCAACGAGTAAGAATGTGGCGAGCTTGCGTCAGATCGACGGCCCTATATGGGTTAGTAGCATGTCCTCTGCCGGCAAGCGAAGGGCAGAGGCTGCACGCTGCCCTCATAAGGCAGCTAAGATCCATCAGCAGAAGCCCTGTTCACCTCACAGGTGAGTCCAATGCCAGGCTGTACCACCGCCTCAAAGTGGCAGATCCACTCAAAGAACTACACTCACTAGCTGGCAAAGCCTTAGAGAACATTGACAGCCCCCCTTCAGGAGTCCCCCCAAATGACATCAGTCTTGACCCCTTGTTACGAGAATGGTGTCGTAAGGTCCATGAAGCCTATGCCGTGCTCACTCGTGAAGCCGCTGCTGCCACGCAAGAAAAGGCCAGGGTCGAGCTACCATGTGGGGAATGTAACTACACCGCAAGTTCACTCAAAGCCTTGCGCCTGCACCGTAGAAAAGCACATGGCTACGACAAGATCTCACGAGACCACAGGCCATGGAAGCAGGTGGATCGCCTCAAATATGGCGTAAATGGTCTGCCCACATGCAGTTTATGTGGTCATGCCTTTCAGGCATGGCAACAGCTCCAGGCGCACATTCACCTGAAAAGCTGTCTTGTCCTGCAGGGCAACAGAACGCTGGCGACAAACCCGACTGCCGAAACTCTGCGCCGGAGCCCTCATGCGGCAGCCAGGATGTGCCGGTCCCCACACTCTCAGTGTTGCCTGAGCCGCCAGAAGTGGCGCCGTTGCTCTCCACACGAGACGAACGCATCCTGACGAAGGAGGGGATAATCAAATTGCTGGAACACAGGCCGGACTTGCGTGCGTTCTTGTCACATAGGTGCGTATGGTGTCAGCAGCAGTGCGTCAAGGGACGAGGTGGTGGCCTAAGCATCCACCTGCAAGGTCACCACACCGCCAGGTGGAAACCGCTGAAAATAGAGGTCGACAAGATACTGACCAAATATGCGGGACATATTGCCACGTCAGGCTGCAGGATGTGTGGAGCAGAGGCCTTCTGCAATGGCACCAGAGCAAAAGATCATGCGAGACACTGTCCGGTCCTTACTCAGCTTGCTTGTATTCGAGCCGAACTGTTGCAACGCAAAGGGCATGAACTCACTATGCCTCCTTACGATGTGCCGAAGCAGGAGCGTGCCTTCAATCATGCAGATTGGAGCGAGGCCCTCAATTCGGGGCAGAGCCCGCCTGAGCAGGTCTCCACTCACCTGAGTGATCGCTGTGCGCTTTGCTCCCGACACATGCCCTCTAGCAGATCTCTCACTCAGCACTATGCACGAATGCATGGACAGGTCTGGGCTCACAACCAAGCGGCTAAGCAGCAAGCCAAGCGGTTTGCGCCTAAGATAAAGGAGGAATGTCCGTATTGCCACCACGATGTAAAGAAATACCAAGCGAGTGCGCACGCGACCACTTGTCCCGTGATCCTTCAGTGGATGCTTTTGGCCCAAGCAAAGACACATCGCCTGGAAGGGTACGCGGACACCGCACCCCTAGTCACTGACTCGGCAAACGTAGCCGAACATGACCATGCATCCGGAGGTGGCGGCAATATGGAGGGCAATGGGGTCAGCAAGCCAGCCCACGTTCTTCGAGGCCGAGGAGTCCGGAGAGGAGATGGTGCCGGATATGAGAGGCAAGCGGCCCAGACACGACTTCCAGTCTCAGAATGGAAGGGGTCCAACAGGTCCGCCGCGCTATCACGGCCGGAATGGCTGGGAAAGAGAGCAGGAACTGACTCTCACAGCAGGGCAGACGCAACAGCTGACCCTCCAGCTGGCCCATTTGAGCCTACGTCTGGAAGACGAGCTGGCGAGAATGAGGTCGGAAAGCGCATTCGTCCTACACATGCAAACCAGTCAGGGCACAGTAGTGCCACAGCTCCTGGAAGCCTCCAAAAAGTGGCAGGACACCAAGTCCAACAATCCGGATCAGCTGACCATGCCTCTCCGGACGAGCCTGGTGCTTGGCATGCTGGGCGAAATGCAGCATCGTCTGACCAAGCTAGTGCAAACAGAGGAAGCAAGGCAGAAGGCGCTGAAGCTCGAGTGGTGTCAGGAGCAACCCGAGAACCTCCTTTGGAACTACACGTGGTGGGACGAGAAGTCCAGCTGTCTCAAGCCGTTGGCCAAGCCAGGACTGACGCAAGAGCAAGTTCTACAGACACTGGCGGGACTGGTGCAGCTTATCCAGGCTCAACCAGAATGCACACTCCGCTTCCACGCAACCCGCAAGTTCGACAAGGCGCCGCAACGAAAGGTGGTGACCTTCATGCTGACCGTGGGATACAGAGGAGCGGCGTGCGACAGCATATACACGGAGATGGAGAAGCTGTGCGGTCTGGCGGCCATGATGGTGGGGGGTATCCAAGTCAAAAAGGAACGCCAACAAAGGCAACCAGCAGCGCAGCGAGTCGAGAAGTTCATCAGGTGACTGAGACAGAGGCCCGCCTCGTTCTCTCCAACACAAGCAATCACTGTTACATCAATTCCGTTGCCTTAGCGTTCACGCACCTGCACAGATTCCTCCCTCTCACTAATCTTCCACACGCCTGGTTAACTGCGCTGCAGGTGATGAAGCCAGGGCCCCCAGGCCGACGACCCAAGAAGGTCGCGCTACGCTCCACCATGCCATGGCAAGTCTTGATGAGGCAGTGGAAGCATCCCGATCAGCAGCATGATGTGCTTGAGCTCATCACTCATCTCATTCGACTGCACTCGATGCAGGCGTACCTTGGGGAATGGGAAGCCCGTGAGGAAGGGGAGGCTGGTCAAGTCACCCTTGAAGCAAATTGTAACACTTTCTCTCTACCTCTCTGCATTCCAAACCTAAGGGGTGAAGTGTGCTTGCAGGACTGCGTGGAGCAATGGGCTTTTGGTGAGAGGGGACTGCAGGCACTAACCACAGTGCCAGACATAGTAGGGTTTCAATTGGGGAGATATGTGCTGACGCCGGAGGGGATAAGCAAAAATGTGCGTGCAATCTCCTTAGCTGAAGGCCAAGTACGTGTCCCCCACTTTCTGGGGGGGGATGCATCCTTTATGCAGACGGATACGATTCCGTATCTCATCCGGGCAGTCATCGTTCACCGAGGGCCCACATTGAACTCAGGTCACTACCAGGCCATCCTTCGGGTGGGCGACCTATGGATATGGACTGATGACAACCAACTCCCTAAGCAGGCAACAGAGGCGCAGCTTCAAATCATGCAGACGTGCTGTTACTTTGTCCTGTGTCAACGCGCAGGCGCTGTGACCGTTCACTGAGTTTCAGGGTACGCGGTCACCGCACCCGAAACAGCCATCCGTAGCTTGTATCAGGAGTAGGTTGTAATCAATGTCTCACAGATCAGCCTTCAAGTTTCCGCACTGTGGCTTGGGCACATATGCCGCACAGTGAAGTGGTTGTGTTTCTCGCAACCGGGCCCTCGGGCCGAGTGAGAGCACTGAGGGTCATAGATCGCGTGTGCACAGTCACATGCCGGAGCCTAACACGGCTCTGCTCGACAGCCCTAACACAGGCTGAGAGTACAGTTATGCTGGACTCTTTCGCTGTGGGAGAAGAAGAAGAAGAGCAATGGCCCACAACCCTGAACCCCTGAAGCCCTAAACCCTAAACCCTAAACCCTAAACCCTAAACCCTAAACCCCTAAACTCTAAACCCTAGACCCTAAGTCCTAAACTCTTCAAATCCCATCAGTCCCTAAACTCCTCCACCTTCAACCCCGAAGCCCCTTGAGTTGCTTGGTGGCTTCCGGAAGCTCAGAGGGCTTTGGGGTTTTGGATTTAGGGGGTTTAGGGTTTAGGGTTTTGGATTTAGGGGGTTTAGGGTTTAGGGTTTAGGGTTTAGGGTTCAGGGTTTAGGGTTTTGTACGCCCTTGGTGCACGGCGAAGTCTCACGGCAAGTGATGACTGTCGAGGATCGGAAAAGGGAGATCTTAACCAACAAGGACGAGTCGTCGCAAGGCAAGAAGCGGGAGTTCAAGGTCCAGGAGTCGACGGTGGTGCGTGACAGCATGGGGTTTAGGGTTTAGGGTTTAGGGTTTAGGGTTTAGGGTTTAGGGTTTAGGGTTTAGGGTTTAGGGTTTAGGGAACGCAAGCCGTGAAGCCTCACCTCAACAGGCGTCATTCGTCAAGCTCTGTCAAGAACGATGGGGTTGGACTGCAGCGGAGTGCCAGCAGAAATGGAATGCAGCGATGCAGGACCCCACCTGCCCGAAGGGACTCGACGACGAGGGCCATCCTACAGTGGACCAAGGGCGTGCAAAACCCTAAACCCTAAACCCTAAACCCTAAACCCTAAACCCTAAACCCTAAACCCTAAACCCTAAACCCTAAACCCTAAACCCCCTAAATCCAAAACCCCAAAGCCCTCTGAGCTGCTCCGACTGTTCTTTGACCAGTGGACGGTTTCAGGACATGTCCCGTGTGTTCTTGGCTTGAGACCTTGGCATCTGTTCTTTTGTTAGGGGGGCTCCCTGAAGCCCTATAAAGCCCTGAACCGATAAGCTTCTCAAGCCCTAGGGTTTAGGGTTTAGGGTTTAGGGTTTAGGGTTTAGGGTTTAGGGTTTAGGGTTGCAAGGACTTCTTGAGGCTGTTGGGTGAGTGGCTTGAATTCGAAGGCAACTTCCGACACGGTGAGCTGTGTCCCCCATACACCCCCCTCCTTCATGCCCTCTATGCAATCAAGCTCTAAACCCTAAACGCCCAGTATTATTTTTGCCATTTAGAAGCCTTATGTAAGGGTCAAAGGTGAGGGAGCTCCGTGTTCAAGGGAATTTTCGCGGATCCTGCTGTCTGGGAGGAGGGCCCAGGGCTACGTAGGTCGAGAGGGGGTGTGGAGGGTTTAAGGCCTCTCATGATGTATCTGTGTAGTGCCTAGGGTTTAGGGTCAGGGTTTAGGGGTTTAGAATTCTGGTTAGGGTTTAGGGGTCTCGGAGTTTTCAGGTTTAGGGTTTTACCCTACGGCCGGTTGTGTAGGGTTTGGAGGCTTTTGCCTCGTTGCGAAGTTCTGCAGGCGAATGGGAAGCCTGTGTACTGCAACGGCACGAACCTCGGATACTGGCGGGAGGACATGAAAAGGAGTCGCAATATACAGCCTGAATCAACGATTGCCTTCGACTCCTCTCATGTACATGAAATAGGAACTGCCCCACATTCCAAGTGCATACAGGCCGCGACGTTAGTTGATCATGAAGGCTCTTCGTTGAGTCTAGTCGGAGAGGAGCCCCCTCTAGTCCTGCGGCTGCCGTTATCATCCAAGAAACCAGTTGCCAATGCACCTCATACTCAAAATCCCTAAACCCCACAGAGCCGCAACAACATGTTTAACTTAAAGCGCGTGCAAAAAGCCTGCGCCCGAACAGGCCCTGGCTCTTGCGAATTCCCTAAACCCGAAACCCTGAGCCCTAAACCCTAAACCCCAAACCCCAAACCCTAAACCCTAAACCCTAAACCCTAAACCCTAAACCCTAAACCCTAAACCCTAAACCCTAAACCCTAAACCCTAAACCCTAAACCCTAAACCCGAATTCAGGGCTTACCGATGCTATGAGTTATGATTGAGGATTTTCTACCGGTTTGGGGAGTTGAGGGTTTGAAGGTTGCAAGAGACGAAGGAGTCGTGGGGATCTGGGGTTCAGGTGACAGGGTTGAGGTGCTTCGGGTTTGGGGTGTAGAGTATAGGGTTTAGGGTTCAGGCGTTAGGGTTTAGGGTTAGGACTCTAGAACTTTCTGAGTTCAAGGGTTGAGTTTTAGGTTTTAGGGGGTTGGTTGAGGGCACCTCTCTGTCAAATTCACTCGTGGGGGGGGGGGGGGGGGGGGGGGGGCGGATTTGTCTGTTGTCGATGACGCTTGCACAAAGATAATGAAACGGGCTTATTTTTCTGTTATTGGCGAGTGCACATAAGGCTCCGTTTTCGATTGGTGAGTGTATATACTTGGTGTTTTTTGGTCTACAAGAAATATGAACCCTACTTCATATCTCCCCAAAAAAGCCCACGCAATGAAGCACAAGCCTCGTGTCTGACTTGGTCAGAGGACGCTCATGAGTTCCCTTTCCTATATGCCCCTTGGGAATAGTTTTTTCTTTTTGTTTATATAAAACCCAAGAGGATATTGAATATCTTTTCGTTATTAAGGCTCTAAGGGGAGTATAGTTTAACCAGACCCCAAACCCTTTCCCTTCTTTATTCGCACAAGGTTTTCGGATCTCTCAACCCCGCCTGGTTCTCCCAGCCTGGGGACAGGGTTTAAGGTTTAGGGTTTCGGGTTTAGGGTTTAGGGTTGATGGTTGAGGGTTTAGGGTTGCAAGGGATCTGTGCTAAAGCCAGGAAGGCTAGGAAGCCTTAGGAATAAAGTGGGATGACAAGGTTACCCTTCTTAGCCACACCCCCCTAACTAGACCCTGAGGCCCTGAACCCTAAACCCTAAACCCCTAGACCCCTGAGCCCACCTTCAACCCTGAACTAACCCTCAACCCCTAGACCCTCAACCCGAAGCCCTCTCCACCTTGGGTCCCCAGGCAACCGGCACATCTTGTTCATGTCGGATGGCGCCTGGGTTGGGGGACTTGAGAACTCAGTCCCCGAGGGTTATAGCCCCAAGCCCTAAACCCTTTACAGGGTTTGGGGTTTAGGGGTTTACTTAGGGTTTAGGGTTTAGGGTTTAGGGTTTTGGGTTTTGGGTTTTGGGTTTTGGGTCGAAGGCTCAGGGTTTAGGGTTTTGGGTTTAGGGTTCATAGAGGGGCCTGTGTTCTGAGGTCTCTTGCCCCAAGAACCTGGAGGGGAAACGTACCCGAGACCAAACAGGTGTGTGTTGGGGATGCCAGGGGGTGGGGCTTGTGCCTCCTCAGCAGTCTGGTGTGAATGTTGGTTGCAGGCTTCGGGGTTCAGGGTTGGGGTTTAGGGTTTAGGGTTTAGGGTTTAGGGTTTAGGGTTTAGGGTTTAGGGTTTAGGGTTTAGGGTTTAGGGTTTAGGGTTTAGGGTTTAGGGATTAGGGTTTAGGGTTTAGGGTTTGATTTGGGGTACTTTGGCAATCATCGCAGTGTCAAGCTTGAGGGTGTAGCGGGCCTAGCGCCGCAGGACTCATCCTCCCAGCTTCCACAGAAGAGAGCAATCGATCAAACCGAGACGCATGCAACTCTGTAGCCTTAACCCCCAAACCCACAACAACAGCACATTGCCCTAAACCCTAAATCCTAAACCCTGAACCCTGAACCCTAGAACAGCACAATTGCACGGCAGAGCCTTCGATTCTGTGAGCCACTGGTTCCTTGTTGTGTCTCTGGGTAAACCCTAAACCCTAACCCCTAACCCCTAACCCCTAAACCCTAAACCGTAAACCCTAAACCCTAAACCCTAACCCCTCGTGGACTTACTAGGCTTAATAATCTCGAAGCTCTCTAGGGTCTTACTCACTCCAATACATTCCATGACCTTGTTTATGGCGGGTTTGGAGTTTAGAATCGCGCTTAGGGTTTAGGGTCTTTTCTCGGCCCCCTATAGGATCCCCCTCCCGCCTCCCCCGCCCCCCCCGCCCCCCCCCCCCCCCCCCCCCCCCCCCCCCCCCCCCCCCCCCAAGCAGTGTTTAGGGTTTAGGGTTGAAAACCCGTGAAGTTGGAAGCCCGACACCCTAAACCCTTAAACCCTAAAACCCTAAAACCCCAAACCCCAAACCCCAAACCCTAAACCCTAAACCCCAAACCTTAAACCCTATAAACCCTAAACCCCACCAGGTCATCAAGGAGGGGCCTAGCTGCGAGGAAAGCGCTTTTGCCCGCACCTTAGAAAGCGTCCGCCGGAGCGGCTCCGGGGTTGAAGAGGTTCGCTGGGGTTTAGGGTTTAGGGTTTAGGGTTTAGTGTTAGGGTTTAGGGTTTACGGTTTAGGGTTTAGGGTTTATAGGGTTTATAGGGTTTATAGGGTTTATAGGGTTTATAGGGTTTATAGGGTTTAGGGTTTAGGGTTCTGATTTAGGCTTTAGGGTTTAGGGTGTAGCACTCCGGGTCGAGCAGTTTTATTGCTGAGTTTTTTACGGTTCTGATATCACACCCACCCACCCGGAGAATCCCGTGACATTGAGAAAGCAAAAAACGGCCTTATTCTGAAGCATCAAGCGGCCTTCTTCTGAAAATAAAGCGGCCTTATTCTGAAATTCAACTATAAGGTTAATATATATATATATATATATATATATGTGTGGTACAGAGGGTTTGGGGCTTAGGGTTCAAGAGCTCCTGGTCGAGCAGTTTCTCGTTTAGGCTCGTCGTTTAGAATAGCGAAAAATACCCACCCGCAGCTCCCATAGCATTAAGAAACTAAGAAATCAAAAGCTTCTTTTCTTACTAGGATGGCTCAACAACAAAACTAATAGGGTTCGCAGGGGTTCAGGGTCTCAAGGGTTTAGGGTCACAAGGTTTTTAAGCTCTCAAGGGTTTAGGGCCTCCAGGGTTTAGGGCCTCCAGGGTTTAGGGTCGCAAGGGTTCAGGGGCTCAAGGCCAGGGGCCCGGGCCAATGCCCACGAAGCCTTTGCCCACGAATTTGTGGGCCTATGCCACGAATCTTGGGGCCTGAGCCCACGAGCTAAAGGCCCAAAAACTCGTAGGCATAGGCCCGGGGCTCCGTGGGCATAGGCCCGGCAGCCCAAAAACTCGTGGGCACAGGCCCAAATCCGGCCTATGCCCACGAAAAAACGGGCCTATGCCCACGAATACCATTGAGGTTTATAAGTATATGGTAGGAGAGGTTTAGGGTTTAGGGTTTAGGGTGTAGGAGGGTAGGAGTCTCCCGAAGCCCTGAACCCAGATTTAAAGGCTTGGGGATCTCTGGGTTTAGGGGCTGCTCGGGATGTAAGAGGATATCGGGCTTATCGGGTTGCAGAGGGACTCGATGACAGGAGCGCGGAATGACTATGCTTCCCATGCGTATCCATTGAGCCCTAGACCCAAAGTGGGGGGGTTTTACGACAATAAAGGGCCCCTAATATAACCCCCCAAATCGTAGGATTCACTTATGAGAAGGACCCCAACACTGGTTCATAGTTGGGATAGTAATAAAATTTTAAAGTTTTATTCCTTGTTGAGTTTAAGTACCCTTAATAATGTAAAATGTTACCCCACTATGATAAAGAACAAGGGACCCCAAATTTTGGAAACCCCCAGGTATATCGCAGCTCGGGTCTCTCAAGGCCCTCAGCACCGCAACGCCGAACAAAGCCCTGCAAGCCTGGAAAAACCCTCCGTTTTCGGTTTGGGGTTTAGGGTGTAGGGTGTAAGGTTTAGGGTTTAGGGTTTAGGGTTTAGGGTTTTTCTGGCCCTCAGGTCTATGCCTACGTCGAGGAAGGGCCGTGGGCGCAATGCATCTGCGGGAGATGTCCCCTTAAACCCCCCAAATGCCGAACTACCCTAGATCCCCTACACCCCTACTTGGGGTTCATGGGTACTTCTAAGTAGGGTTCTGACTAGGGTAACTGTGGTCATAACCTTGTCCAGGGGACTTGTACCCCTACTTATATGTACTCATGAGCCTTCAAATAAACCTCCCCAAACCCTTAGCCCTAATCCCTCCAAGCCCAACCCTAAGCCCAAGCTTTGGCGCTCTTCAGGGGTTCTAGGAGCCTTCGCAACCTCTCAAACTCTATATTTGCTGAATAAGAACCCCCCCAAAAAAAAGTATCCCATAATAATCCATCCCTATATTGCCCTATTGCCCTTATAAGGACTTATATATACATATATATATATATATTGATTTTTTTTTTTTTTTTTGGGGGGGGGGGGGGGGGTGGGGTTGGGTTCTTCTAAGCAGATAGTAGAACTGGAGGATCCCTTGGCCAGCGAACCCTTTGGTGTGCGGCGGGCATGGCAGGCTGCGGAAGCTTCTAGGGTTTAGGGTTTAGGGTTTAGGGTTTAGGGTTTAGGGTTTAGGGTTTGGGATGGCGGGGGTTTAGGGTTTTGGGGGTGTGGTGACGTGGTGTGCGACCTGCTTGCAAGGTCCCTGTGGGGGGGCTTGAGGGACTGACGGAGCTTAGTTTAAAACAAGACAGGCC